AAAACAGATTGTCCACCAAGAGTAACTAAGCTAGAACTTTACAACACCAGTTCTTATATGTTATTGTTAACACCTTCTCGCACTACTATTGCTTTTATTTAACTATTTGCTGTCTAATTAACACTACCATTATTGACTACTTATGAATTCATCACTATATGAACACTCTGTCACCTTTGCGCTCCTTCCTCGTCGCTTTGTATCGTCTCGACCTCGTTCTAGTACTAACCACTCGATCTCGCGACAACTATTTATAGAGGCTTGCCATATTCTATAATGATCCAGTATACGCCATCTAGGAACCGAGTCTACTCTGTCGGCATGTATGTTGGGTGGCTTGTACATATGTGACAGTATTATATTCTAAAGAACTGTTCCCCTCACATACGTGTTAGAAACTCATATTCCCTGGTAAAAGTCATTCTAATCTTAAAAAATATAAGAGGTCTAATAATAGAGTAAAGTATCAATTGATGTGAGATAAAGGAAAAGGTATTGGGATTAGTCAAAGACTTTAGTCAGTCATCAGTAACATTCTCAAAATTCAAATAACAAAATGGAGTCACCCATGCACAACCTAAGTCCACCTCGACGATGACCAGGAAGAAGAAAATTATCCTCCTCTATAAATTACAATAATTTTTCAAGAAACTGCACTTGTGTTATCTTCTGCCTCAGGATACATTTATTGAAATAAAGAGTTAACAATACTACAATCTATCTAGGTATACAGCAAATAAAAATTTAATTTATATAATCAAAGGGTAATGCAATTTTAAGCAAATTCTGCATCAGTAACAATAAGTAATTGTGTTAAACTAAAAATATCATATCTTAGTATGAAATAGACATGTAAACGTTGTAAGTGTAGGTAACATTAACAGTAATAAAAAAAAATACACACAGATGTATAGAAAATATAAAAAATGTTTCGTATTATTGTAATACGAGCATAAAAAAAATATATAAAATAAAAAAAAATTCTTGTCTCTTTTTGTGGCTCATAACAGGACTGAATATAAGTAATGCAGTTGTAAAAAAATTGTTATCTAATTGTTATCCCGCTGACGAATCATTTCCGAAACGGGGACTCTTTTTATTCCCTCGACGTGGTGGATTTCCTACATTCCGTTCGTCTTCGTATATAACGTTGAGGGAGCTCGGGGAACTTGCTTTTAAAGTGTTATCGGAAATCAAAGTCTGGAAAAATAATTGCAGTGCTTGATATCATAAAAAAGACTACATTGAATGAATTTCTTGTGACGTCACAAATCCCCCGTATGTTATTAATTGAAGTTACACTGTTAAGGGTACGTGCTATCACGTTGAGGTTGGCTACGCTGGGATTCGTTTTCAGCAAGTAGATATCCAGACAAGTGGGCCTTGTTGGAGCATACGTATTCCTAAAATGTAGCATCGTGCTACAGATGGCGTTTACTGCGCCATTTGTAGTATTTTCTGAAACGCACTGTTAAGACAGCAGCTACAAGTTGGTCTGTGTTCTGTCGGAGCTGCTTGCGACGCGCTGATGAGATCCAAAAAGATCGAAATCTCGATCCGCGTCTGGCAGTTTCGACAGAATACAGACCACTTCGAATTATTTTATTCCTTAAGGGGTAATGTTTTAGCAATTGACAATTGTTGACTGTCAATTGTTAGCTGTCAGCTGTGATGGAAGGCATTGTTTAAATAAACTTATTTTGTTCTTTACCGGTGATTTCGAAAGGGAAGTTTTCACTTCAACGTCAATGTAGTTCTTTTTCCTTCCTGAGCTACTGGTCATTTTCCTTCTTTTGTATGCTTTCGTTTTCTCTTGAATAAACAGGTTTGTGCTCGATGAGTAATTCTGTAAAAATATATCATAATGATAACTGACGTACTTGTATTGAGACAGGTAAAATATTTACCACTTCCGACAGGGCGTACGTTTCGGCAAATACATCATATGGGTCGACCATATTTTTTCCTGGAATCAGTACCACCTTAGTCGGCACATTATGTTGGAATGTGTATTGGCTGCTTCTTGGTAGAACTAGTTTCTGCACAGATCTGAAAAGTACGCTATGTTTAATAGGGTCAAATTAGGAAGGCGAACTCCTCATATAAATATATGAAATCCTATGACATTGTTAGTTACTTAATAGTGGATTAATATGCAATATTAATTTGAAATCATTTTTTCGATTTTTTATTTACCCACTAGAAACTACCTCAAATTAATGAGGGAAAAATTGTTGCTGTTGTCACACGCCCGCCGGGAATCGAACCCGGGACGTTTGGCTTTACGCACCAATGTTCTGACAACAGCAACAATTTTTCCCTCATTAATTTGAGGTAGTTTGTAGTAGGTAAACAAAAAATCAAAAAAACGATTTCAAATTAATATTTCATGTCTTTTGTCGAAAAATGACATTATAAAGTTTTACTCCGCGTAATGATCTTAAGCTGAACTTTAGATATTAACTGATAAAATCTATCGAAAATGAAAATAACCTTGTGTCCGTTTTTTTTTTCTGCTGATCAATTTATATTATTTTGATCACGGAATGAGGTGTGGAATGAGTTCACTCAGTATAAGTAATACATACATACACATGTATTCAATTCTCGCTAATTTGAAATGCAATTACTGTTGCCGAGTTTAACGCAAAAGCTTTTATCGAAGTTTAGATTGCCACCAACCCCATGCAAATATCGGATTATGTGATTATGCTATAATGTATCTAAGGGTAAGTTAAAATGCACGATATTGATGACGAATTTGGGCTTGGCTTACAAACTTGATGTAGGTACTTCAGTGCGAATATATGTATNAGTTGATTAAATGAGTCTATGGATAGTATTTACCCGTTGATAGGGTCTGAGAATTGATCAAAAGCGGATTTAAGGCTATCTCTGCTAAGTACGTAAGTTTGTACTGGCGTTTCGGCCACAATGCTACATGCGTAAGGGTTGCCGGTCACCATACTTATTTCTCCAAAGCTGTTGCCGGGTGTAATGTATTCTTCATATATTTCCTTGTACGTTATGTTTTTCACCCAATCGACAACGGGTAGAACACCCGAACTGTTCATTTTATCAATGATACTTGGCTTCGGAATGTAGGTTAGGCGCAAGAGTCCTAAAAAAATAGTAAAATAACTTCAGCTCGAGTCGAAAGTGGACAATAGGATCTAGATTTTCATCTACGATGGGTTAGGTTAGGTTTTCGAGTATTACCTGAGATTAGAATGAATACTCCGTCAGATGGTAAGCCACCTGTGCAAATTTCTTCTCCAGCGTCAAATATTTTGGTGATAATATTGCTGAACAAATATTCTATTAGTGCTTCATCGCCAGATATCCACGGCGTTTCTCTGAATACATCTTTCGGTGTATTTGGTGGTATCCATTTCATCTTAGTGAGTATGTGGAATTGCTGGTCCAATTTCGCTTTCATTAACGAATATTCAATTTCATCCATCCAGCCTGAGAAATTTCAAATTGTTACGTATAAGCATGTCAGTGATAATCAATACATTCATTTCAGATGACTATTGAGTATGTTCTTAGGCATGTATCGATGGATGGTTGGCAATCATAATATTAAAGATGCGGTGGGTAATAAATCATACTCCGGGTGACACATATTTGCCGCTTAACAATAGGACTTCTAGAAGTTGCGTGATTGAAGAAGTGCAAATTGTTTTGTACAAACGTGTACGTGATAATCAATACATTGATTTCCAATGGCTGTGAGCGATTCCTGACCGGCAATCATTGTAATAAAGGCTCGGAGGGTAATAAATTATAGCTTGAGTGACACATATTCGCCGCTTAACAATAGGAGTTCTAAAATTTTCAAGAAGAATGAAGACTAAGGAATTGAAAATTGCTACTTATGTACCTATAATCCTGTACTTGATAATCAATACATTGATTCCCGACGGCTCTTGATTATGCCCGGAGGCAGGGATCTATCGAAAGGTTGATAATCGTAATACTAAAGATGCAGTGGGTAATAAATCATACCCTGGGTGACATATTTATCGCTTAACAATAGGACTTCTAGAAGTTGCGTGATTGAAGAAGTGCAAATTGTTATGTACAAACGTCTACGTGATGAACAAGACATTGATTTTCAACGACTGTGAACGATTCATGACCGCCAATCATTGTAATAAAGGCTCGGAGGGTAATAAATCATAGCTTGAGAGACACGTATTTGTCGCTTAACAGTAGGAGTTCTAGAATTGTAAAGAAGAATGAAGACTGAGGAATTGCAAATTGCTGCTTATGTACCTACAAGCCTGTACTCGATAATCAATACATTGATTCCCGACGGCTTTTGATTATGTCCGGAGACAGGGAACTATCGAAAGGTTGACAATCTTTGTACTAAAAACGCGGTGGGTAATAAATCATCCCCTGGGTGACACATATTTGCCTCTTAACAATAGGAATTCTAGAATTTTAAAAAAGAATGAAGACTAAGGAATTGCAAATTGCTACCTATAAGCGTATAATTAATACATTGATTCCAGACGGCTATCGACTATGCCCAAAGGCAGGGTCCGATCGATGGTTGACAATCTTTGTTCTGAAGAAGCGGTGGGTAATAAATCATACCCTGGGTAACACATATTTACCGCTTTACAATAGGACTTCTACAATTTTGAAGAAGAACGAAGACTGAGGAATTGCAAATTTCTACGTATGTACCTATAAACGTGTACGTAACAATTAATACATCGATTCCCAACAGTCATGAGCTATGCCGATAGGCAGGGTCAGATCGATGGTTGGCAATCTTTGTTCTAAAGAAGCGGTGGGCAATAAATCATACCCTGGGTGACACATATTTACCGCTTAACAATAGGACTTCTACAATTTTGAAGAAGAACGAAGACTGAGGAATTGCAAATTTCTTCGTATGTACCTATAAACGTGTACGTAACAATCAATACAGTTATGAGCTATGCCGGCAGGCAGGGTCAGATCGATGGTTGACAATCTTTGTTGTAAAGAAGCGGTCATTAGATATTTTTTTTTGCAGATAATTATAT